AGGGGGGGGGGGGGGGAAACAGTCCACCCATAATTCCCAATTCAATCATCCACCATTTCCTCTCCTCCCCCTCTCCATGCTTCCTCCATATACCAAACATATGCTTGCTTGCTGCTCGTAGTGCAATGCCCATGCCATGCCATGCCCATGCCAAATTTTGTAATCTTTCAAAAGAGCAAGAGGAAAAGGGAAAAGCAAAAGAAAACCACCCGGGAAAAATGGTGTGTTATTGTGATAATGAAATCCCTCCATTTGCTCCAGGTACGCCATGCTTTGATTGTGGAACGAATTTGAATGTGATGTGTGTGTGTTTATGTTGTACGCTGAGCAAAAAAGTTGCTCTATTTCCATCGGCAAAGATGATGAAATGTGTCTGTAGGCGAGTGGTGTCTTTGCTGGTGGTACCTCGAACTCAAACCATATCCTGCTTCCCCCTTCCATGCTGCCATCCCCAATTCGATTTCCTTCCATGCCCATAACCCATTCCGCCAATCCCATTCCAGAGTAGAGTAGAGAGAAAAGGTTCTGTTGAAAGCCATAGCCATAGCACCACATGTTGTCATTCAGCTTCGTAAATGATCTTTTTTTCGAGTTTGCCATCATGGTTTCTCTCCCCCGCTTTCATCTTCTCAACCAAGTGATCCATCTTCTCATGAGAAATCGAAATCTGACAAACATCCACCAGAATAATGCTTTGAGTATCGTAAACAAATAACCACCCGAGCACCGTCAGCTCTCCATGACCACCTTCTTTGCCGTCTCAGTACTACCAGCACTATTGTCCGTGCCACGTCTCGCCAAAGTTCCCATCGCAGGAGTCTTGGATTTCTTTCGTGTCGTCATAGTCAGACCCTCATCACTATCGGAATCGTCGTCGGCATATGATCCATCGCCATCCCCAGCACAACCATCATCCTCGAGATCCGGACTCAAACAGATTGTATCATCAGCTGCATATGTTGTTGTTACAACTTCGGAATCTCTAGTCGAATGTTTTGAAATGGAAGAAGGTGGGGTGAGAGTGTCGGGGGTACTATCAGCGGTAAATCCAGGATTTTCGTAATAAGTGACACCAGGGTGTTGCAAAAATTCGCCCTCCGTATCCGCAGAAACCGAAGAGCCGCCAGAGATGAGAGCTGGCAGTGAAGGTACGGAAGGGAAAACCTTTTCCTGTGACCCAAGATTTACCGAAGAAACTGGTGATGTGACATCTGATGGCGAAGCTACGCTGGTCGAGTTCACCGAGCTATAGGACTGCGCTCGCTTATCAGCATCCTCCTGCATTCGCCCCATCATCTCGTCGTCCGGCGACGGGGGACAAGGCGACGGAGGACAAAATGGTTTAAGTTCCAATCGTTTGATGGCAGCAGCGGCAGCAACCTGTTTTTGAGATTCCAGAGCTTCCTGCTCCAATCTTTGTTTCCGATGTTGTATTTCTACTGCTCTTTGGAACGACTCTGGTGTACTTGCACCATATGTGCGAGGGGGTGGGGTGCACATACTGCCATCGGCTGGTACTTTGTGGGCGGTGGCAGGTCGTTGATCCAGATTCGATGCTGCATCCATCGTACGTGGAAAGCTTGGAGTCGATGCAGACTGGGTTGTTTGCGTAGCCTGGTGGTCATGAACGCTCCGTGGTTCGAAAAACAAGGGTAACGGCAGAGATGGCAAAGGTTTGTCGTAGTTGGGATGCGCTGGGCTTGCCTGTTCGGACTTGGAAAAACCGAATGGGTATGTTTTGATGTTGCCATGTTCAAACCTTCCTGGTGCAACGGCATCGCTGAGGGCCAAGCTTGGCTCTGAATGTTTGTTGTCGGACTCAAACAAGCTGCGATCGACAGATCTAGCACGGGAAGCAGTCCCTTCTTCAATTTCAGCAAGCTGTTCTCTACCTCGATTGTGCCATAGATGGCCGAAGAGTGATCCAAGAGGATCGGTAAAAGGCCCAGGGGTATTGGCTCCATCGCAATGCATACTAGACATACCAGCGTTGTTTACAGATTTCGAATAAGCATGTCCTCTTTGAGTGACCGTTTGCATCGACGCCGACGTCGAGTTTTCCCGATCTGGCGGACCTGGTCTCGTATCAAAATCTGAGGATGGACCGGATGGTCCCTGTTTGGGAGTGGCTCCTACCGAAGAAGAATGTTGCGAGTCGCGGGAGAGGGGGTCCACATTTCCCAAATAGTCCGGACTGGCCGTCAAGCTTTGCGAGAGAGGATGTCCAGCATGGGCATATTGTTCTCTGTGATCGTGGATATCGTGATTGGACAGAAAATAGGACTCGTCTCCTCGAAGGCTGGCTCGTCTGCCATCCCGACTACCTGGGGTCGTAGGTGTATGCAGATTATCCGTTCCTGAGCTTGTGGCACTACTAATTGCCCTCTTTCGTGAACCCTCGCCGCCTCTCGTCTCACTTCGCGTAGCACCAATCACCTTGTTGACGGTCTTTTTGAGTGCTGATCGAGCTCGCTCTAGAAAGTTCAGTGGCACCACAGCACGCTCCAATTCACGATCGTCCACCTCGATTCTTCTACCGGCCGTCTTTCGTGATGGGTCCGTGTCATCGAGCCAACCGATGATGTTATCAATACCTTTGATCACCCATGGATGGCGTTTGACCTCTCTTAGCTTCACCCGTTCTGCTGGATCTTTGACCAACATTCGGCGAAGTAGATCAAGCAATTCATCATCAATGTTCTCGTAGGCGAGTTCCCCTTCTTCGCGATAAGGACCCAAAGAAGGTTGAGCAACTCGCTTGCCAAGACTGGTGGTGGATGTCGATGTCGATAACGAGGGATTTACTGCCTTTAGGCGCCGCTTTGGGATATAAACATCATCTTTTGCGATGGAGCGAAACAGTTTGTACTCATCATCAGCGAGAAAGGGGATACGAGCGAAGATGAGACAATACAAGGTCACACCCAGAGACCAAACATCGATTTGCTCCGTGATCTTCGGTTGTTCAATATCTAGGTCGGTGTAGCACAGCTCCGGGGCAAAGAACGCGGGTGTACCAACGGTTTTGGCCAACTCGAGGTCGTCGTCAAAATCCGCCGCATCTGCTTCAGAAACATTCTCCTCCGTCTCACCTTCTCTAATGGGTCTCCCAAAGTAGGAAACACCGAAATCCGATATCTTTACCCGATGATCCTTGGTCCATAGAAGATTGGCGGGTTTGATATCACGGTGGACAATGCCTTCGTAGTGTAAATACTCCAGTCCCAACACGGTATCACGGAATGCTGAGCGGGCCTGCTCGATGGTAAAGCACGGAACGTAGGAATAATCTTCTTCAAAGGCGTCGTGGGGACCATCGTCAACCGAGGACATGTGAGAGATGACACTATCCGCCATGCTTGGTGATCTACCCCGGTATGCAGGTTCCTCTGGACAAGATCCGTAATACGATCCTTCCAAGCCTGCCACGCTCGCGCTGTGCTGTGAGGGTAAGGACTGGTGTGACGGCAAGGATGGTAGTGGTCCCACCGGCTCTTCCTCATTGTCGCTATCAATTGCGGGGATGTCGTACTCGATTGGAAGCGGCGTATGAGCTCGAGAACTGATGCGAGAAGGTGCATTTGAAGGGGCCCGAGAAGACGGATGGGAAACGGGAGCAGAGACGGTGGTGGGTCGATAGTGGGATAGACTCTGCGATGAGTTGCGAGTATTTTGGCGGGACAAAGCCAAACTCTCGCCATCCTCGTCGTCATTTCCATGTTCCAAACTCCAGAAATCCGTACGGCCTGCGTGGTTTTGTGCCGTCTTCTCTCGTTTGGCCTCCTTGCGTAGTCGGCGCCGTTCGATCATGCCAAAGAATATTTCATCGTCCTCGGTAGCCTCCTCTCCACGTCGTTCTCCCTCAATTCGGCGTCGTTCGTAGGCGCATACTCGTGGTGAGCCCTTCTTGCGCCATGTAATCTCTCCCAGCTCGACATGTTCCAGAATCATGTAAATCTTCTTTGCATCCGCATCGTCAATCACCTCCAGCAAGCCAACCACGTGTGGGTGTCGAATCTTCTTGAGGATGGCAATCTCTCTCTTCGTTTTGGTCTCTGGTGACACCGTGACCTTGCCCAATCGTCGTTTCTTGGAGAAGCGTTGTATGATTTTAATGGCGACATAGTCGGACGTTTCGAGACTGCGGGCCAATTTCACCTTTCCATGCACTCCTCTGCCAATTTCCTCGATGACTTCATATTGATTGATCAGCTTTCGGCCGGTGAGGAAGTCTTGCTCGACCATCGCCTTGTGTGTTCTGCCAAAGATGCGTTAGTTTCCATCATGACGCCATCACGGTGCTGGGGAGAGAAAAAGTGGGATGGGAGCTGAAGAGAGCCGACGATGCATCATGAATCTAGACACCGTCTATGACCATGCTGCTGAAATGGCGTCGACCCAGCTGCCTACCGTACACGGTGGAGAAGGATCGAGGGGTACTCACTCTCGCACTTTATGCATTTGGAGTGGGTGAAGGTAGGGACTGGAGTGAGGGGTGCCATCCGAGGGCGGTAAAGGAATGCGCTGAGGCAGCGTTGAGGGCGAAAAGAGCCCCGGACTCGAGGGCGCACTGTTGGCGATCTTCGAGGTTGTTGATGAATCCATTATTGAGGTGCAGATTGATGGTGGTTTTCGACATGTTGGGGGGGACCGGTCAGGCCTTGTATAATTTCAGGCTCGTGGGGAGGCGGTTCAGCAGGAGACAGCCATGACTCTGGAGATGGATGGATGTGGATGGTGATGATGTTGATGGGGTTCAGGTGAGGGAGAGAGTGGTGTAGGAGTCTGCTAGAGTGATGTTAGGAGGGAGACGGTCGTAGTGGTAGTGGTGGTGGTGGTGGTGGTGGTGTAGAACGGTAGCGTGGTATGGAGGTTGCGTGGTGGTGGTGGTGGTGGTCGTATCGGGTGGTTCCTATCAAATGGTGGTGCTGGCGGGCTGCAAAATGGATGCGATTAGGCTAGTCGACTCTGGGAAGTAGCCGTGGGGAATTATCAAGGTCTTGGCTCGAGGTATCGGCTCCAGTTGCAGGGGCGAGGAGACACTAGGCCTGGACAGCCTGGAGAGCCTGGACAGCCTGGAGAGCCTGGACAGCCTAGACAGGCTCGACACACGGAGCAAATAGTGAATGTGAACCAGAGAAGGGATGAATGGTCTACGGGAAAGTATTATACGGGAGCGGTTGGTGGTTAGGTGGGCGGGTGANAGGCTCGACACACGGAGCAAATAGTGAATGTGAACCAGAGAAGGGATGAATGGTCTACGGGAAAGTATTATACGGGAGCGGTTGGTGGTTAGGTGGGCGGGTGAAGGGTCGTTGGGTTGGTTGGTTGGTGGATGGTGAAAGTAGTGACGATGGTGAAGGGCGAGGGTCAGGGTGTGATGAGGGTCAGGGTGTGATGAGGGTGAGGATGAGGGTGAGGGTGAGGGTGAGGGTATTGATAGAGGGTTGCAGTTGGAGGGTTGGAGGGGAAGTGGCAGGGTTCTTGGTGGGCTGACCCGGGCAACCTGGGCGTTGCTAGATTGCTCGATTGCTCGATTGCTAGGGTGTTGGATCCCTAGATTGCTACTTGCTACTTGCCTTGCCTTGCCTTGCCACTGTACAGCATGCTACTATCAATGCTGGTGTGAAGAGCGAGAGCGCATTGCCCATTGGCAGGGATGATTGATGGGATACAGTATTGACAGTACTGACACTAATGCCCCGCCGAAGATGGAATGGATTCGGTTGATTTCTGAAATAATCCTCGTTCCCCAGAGAGTGGCAGAGACGCAGATGGGCGCTGGCATTACTGTACTATTGGCATTGCCTTTCTTTGTCTTGCCCAACGTCCTCCCAACAATACAAAGGTACGGAGGTTCGAGGCGTAATCATCACACCTCACACCACACCACGGCTACGCCCGACCGGGCCAGAAGGTCAAGCAAGGCCAGAGCCGAGCCAGAGCCAGATCGTTGCACCAAGGAGCAGGGAGAAGCAATTCAGAGCAGAGTATACTGGACACACTACGCAACACCGTAACCAGTTACACCACTCACGACCGCTGGGCCAACGAAAGGATTCCAAGGTGAAATCTGTAGTGTTGGTGCAGGTGTAGGACCAGACCAGGGACTGCATCTTGGGTGCAGATGGGTTGCATTGCATGCATTGGGTGCATCTTCAACGGACCTCAACACAACACCCGCTAGCCAGGCTAGCCCGCCAAGATATCTACTATTTCCATCCAACCCCCCCTTCCCCTTCCCTCTATGGGTAGAGATAACAGATATTGTAAGTTGACTGTAGATTAGTAGCTTGATCTTCTTGGTCTTCTTGACCCTCTTGACCCTCTTGACCCTCTTAACCCTATTGATCCTCTTGACCCTCACTCCACCACCGCACAGGACGAGGTTCCCCCATGGACAAGTAGATGCCACGGCCATGGCAGAAATCTGGCAATTGGGCGTGCGAGAAACTCTGCCCAAAGTGCCTTGGTCGCACTGCAGGGCAAGACCGAGAGGCAAGACCGAGAGGCAAGATCTTGTCGAAGCCCTCTGTCGACTTTCCACCTCAAAGTATCTCTTCCCGGTGGCGACAAAACATGACGGTATCTCAGTATATACCGAGTATGATGCTCCTAATTGATTTTCTCTCGCTAGCCGCTGCAAGCCCAGCGGAAAAGATATTTAAAAGATGCAATCGAGCTGCATCGGCAAACCACCCCGCCCCTGAGCGGCTGTATCTCCTCTTCCAGACTCCGCTCCTACACTAGACTCTACTTGACTAGTACCAAGTACATACTACTGACGACCACCCCCGGAAGAAACGCCTCTTCCTACGAGTACTCCCGGGCCCAAAACTTGCTCTGTGTGTCCGTGGAACAAGGAAGCGATCCCATCGCATGCCAAAATGCGGAGAAGTCCCGTCGCATACAAGTATAGCACGGAGATGCAAATCCCTATCCATATCCATCAAAAAAAGGGGGGTATCGGGTTAGGTTAGTACTCTTTACTCGTACTGTACACCACGGCAAAATTTATCAGTTTCTCTGGGACTCGCGCAACCGTAACCACAACCACACCATCCCACCTCACCATTCCCCTTCTCTCTGCCACACCTCAAACCCTCCACAAACCCAGACAGCTGGTCCCCTATCTCTCCCTACCCTACTGATGTGCCTATATCTTGGATCTTGGAGTTCCAAGCAAGTATGTACCGATGTATACAAAGGTAAGCCGCTCGCTCACCACACTGGGCGTTCATGCTTATCTTGGTGGCGTGCATCCCGTCTGCAAGTCGCCCAAAGCTATCCTCCCAAGCTCTTGTATGCGTGACGATCGGGGGATTTTTCTATGTAAATTTATAGTACAGTGGAATTTCTATACCAAGATTGTCTATTCCTAAACAGCCACTTCGGCTCCTTCGGCCTGTGCGGAAATCGAAAATTGCGGCTGGAGGCGCTGATGATTATTATTGTACCTCTGTACTGTACTGTCTCTGTACAAAGTTGGAAGTTGTCAATAGATAAGGATGAACAATTATAGTACTGGGTTACAGCAGATGCAATGCAAATAAGCAGGTAATCTAGAGAGATCTGCGAGAAGCTGTATGTCGAATGGAATGTGTAGATAGTAATTCGAGGTAGCTATCATTATTTACTTACTACTTGATTGTCTCTTACTACTCTATCTTATGTACAGAATGTCAATAATACGTGTTGTCCCTTGGCTGTGCTGTGATGGTCGTTATTTTTATCAAGTGTTATTCCAACCATCCACCTCACATCCATCTAACTAACCTACAGTAATTTACATACCAAAATACCACCACTACTGTACCCCCTCCCTCACCATCCGAACAAACAAACCCCAACCCAGAAACAACCCTTCCCTTCCCTCCTCACCTCCATCTTCCTATCTTCTCATCACAAACCACTTCAAACCTTAATCCAACACCCCATCACCCAAAAACTTACTCCCTACCTCCCTCACAGACCACGCAAATCCAGCCACAGATCCACATCCCCAAACACACACAGACCAACATCCTTATCACAACCCTCACAAACCCCCCTAATCACGACACCAACCTTGTCGTTCGTTCATTATTTCTAATCACGACATAAACAAGGCTAGGATATACCAGACCACCTCTCGCACCTACGGAAATAAATTTACTTCTACAGTACGAGTATAGTGCGAGTTATCTCCTATCTGATTCTGATTTTGATGTCGTGGATAGGATAGGGAGGATAGTTTAGTAGGTTTGGTTAGTTAGGGTAGTGATTTGAGGTTTGTATTGAGATGGGATGGGATGGGGGTTATTTATGAGTAGGTACTTGTATAGTTCTGAAATCTCTGATTCTCGTAGTATGGTGTTTTTGGGGGTATGGAGGAAATACTGTGAGCGAGGAAAATGTTGTATGATACTGAGATATTATACTATGGATAGAGATAGAACTTGGTATCTAAGCTTGCGTGGTAGTTTACTATTCATTCCTATCTATCTCTATCTTCATAGGAATTCAGTAAAGAAATACAAAAATATAAATGAAATTTACAACTTCCTTCCATTCCTAACTCACAACCCATCCAAACCAAAAACCAAGCCACAAACTACACACTCACTCACTCATCCCCACCAACTCACCCATCCCCCCCTGTAAAAATCACATCACAATCACATCTCCCTCCCCCTATCCTCCCTAACATCCCTAACACCCCATCCCTAACATTTATCCACACCCCTCCCTACAGCCCCTACCCTGCACCGCACCTCATCATTCCCTGCTCCGTGCCAGCCCAGTCTCCAAGTCCGTAGTCTATCCCTACCTATACTCTAAGCCACAATACCCAACTACTTAGCGCACCCCAGCTCCAGCCTACCGCGCTTCGCTCCGGGGAAAAAAAAAGTTGGAAAACTCTCTGTTGGTGTCTGTATTATGACTTAGCCCTGATTTTCAGTAAAACCTGCGAATTAGAGAGTTGGATCTAGAGTTTCCTTACCTATGTATGATCTATTGTACATAATAGTGTCCAGCTTTAACTATTATTTACTTCCGTAAATTAGGTACGTCGCAGTAAAAATCATGAAGTTCAACACATCGCATCGTATCGTGTCACATCGTATCACATCACATCATATAATCACCCTACTTCACCCTACTTCACCCTACAAGTAAAAAAGAATGATAGCTCACATTCCTTCCTCTTCCTCTTCGCCTCCAACTTTCCCGTTTCTCCGCATATTTTTTTCTTTCTCTCTTTCGCTTACAGGATGTGAATGATGCATACTGATGCGGCGCGTAATTGAATAAACAGAGATGTGCATGCAAATGCCTCCAATGCAGTAGTAAGTAGAAAAACACAGTACCTATGCTGTTACTTCAGAGGTTCTGGTTATGGTATGGCCATGGTAGAGGCCGTGATCGGAGGTCCTCGCAAGGTTTGGTATGGCGCATAATACCCGGTGGCGAATTTCAGGTATGGATATGGATGGATAGGTAGGCATTAGGCATAAATTACCAGTACAAAAAGTTATAAAAATAGTAACTAGGTACAGTATTTCTTTCTCGCGATGGGGAGAGGATAGGATGGCGAGAATAATAAACTATGAAGGATTTAAGGAATGGAAGGGTAGGGTGAGGATATGTTGTGTTTAGGGGCTGGTGAGAGGGTGTAGTGATGAGGTAATAATTCGATATATCTGGAAAGGAATTTATAGGTGATTTGTTGTCATATTTTAGAGTTGTACGCTTTTATGTGGTTGATACTGTTCTGTACCTACTGTACTCTGCGATGAAAATTATTTCGTCTCTTGCTAGGGTAGTGATAGGTAGGGAGCGATGTAGGAGTAGGAGAATGAATCCCCAGGTACGAGTAAAAATTTAGAATGTGTTGATTCAGCTTAATAGGTTCAGATACTATAAATCCTTAACACGTCCTCCGATATCCTTCGCACATATTACTTCTCGATGACAAGGACGTCTCTTCCTGCTAATAAAGTACATAACTCCCATTCTAGACCTCCTACCTATGTGTAATAGTCCGTGCTGTACCTAACCTATACATCCCCAAGCTATAGCTATATGTTTCAAACTCCCCCTCTAGAGTTCTCTCCAGGGGCCTAAAGGAACTCCATGGTTCCTCCCATGTATCACAACACCACCCCATCAAGGTCCAGGAACCTTCCTCGAAGGAAGACTAAAAAGGTACATTGAGTTCGTAAGTGTGGCATGTTGATTGATTGAGTTTAGCAGGAAGGAATTCCTAGACGTGTGGAAAGTTTGTTTTATCGATAACTTCAGCTCGGTCTTTTTCTCTTTTTTTTCACTCTTTTGGTAGGGGGTTTTCTTTGGATGGGAAGGATGGATATTATTAATAATTAGTCAGTGATAGGAACTATGCACCGAGCGTGTTGAGGATATGATTGTTTTGCGTGATTATCGTTTATACAAAGTACCAGCTACCGTGCTACATCACAACGCTGTAACGGTGATGTATACATATATGTAATGTACATATGTAGCAAGGAAGAAACCCTTCCCCAAACCCTCCCTCTATAATCTACCTACCCATCTATCATTCTCACGCCACACCACAATCTGCTAGAGTATCCTCACATCATCATCCCTACCTTCCATCTACCCACTTTTGCTTTATGATCGCCCTCAAATCCTATAAGTATCCCCCAAATAAAGTATCAATATCTCACATTTAGCGCTATCACAAAAAGGCATGCGCGTCTCTTATACATTAAACCGAAGCGAGAGCGCAAGTTGATTACCGGTGAAGCCATGGATGGATGTTGTGATACCACTCGCTTCCACCCTTTTCTAGGATCTCTGACTGCCGGGCGACAACAAACTTGGTTCGATGCATCAGATGCGGACACAGGTAGATTAGTTGGATGTCTTGCCTAGATGTTTTTCTTGGTAGGTGAGATGAAGATTTGTAGGCTTTGTGGAACTTATCGCGGACGTGGGTGTTGAGTCTGATATGCTGGTGCGTGGGAGGCTTGGAGTTGGAGATCTAGATGTTGTACGAGGTAGGTGTTTTTCTCCGTAGCTCTAGGTGACCTAGTAAGAATTGCGAAAATTTACTGTTATGAATCAAAGCGAACTAGAGGTTTTTTTCGGTACGTATTAGATGTTCTACAAGTAGATGTCGTGCAAGTTTGTAGATCTTAGACGAGGGGTTGAAGTACCATGGGAAAAGAAAATGAAGTCATTAGTTTTAGAAAAGGCGAGGGGTAGAGATGGGGAAACAGGGGTTCAATTCGCATGTGATGATTGTCTTACATCGATCAAGCTCGTGATTGTGAGGTATCAATATCTACTTACCCACCTTTCATACATCCATATGTTCATAGTATTTGTCAATTCCGAGATGTCTCGTCAACCGAATAGAAGGTGCGGGAAATCCAAGATTTTTGAAACCGGTAT